ACAGTTTCGATCACGTTTGAATCGGCCCCATCAGCACCCTCAGCGGGACTCAAACTCGAGTTTTGGTAGTACAGCGTATATTCACGACACTTTAACCTCTAAGCCACACTGCCACAAGTGTCCTTGGGTGACAGAGCAGATGTGAATTTCAAGGAAGGCCATGCTTTTTCCATATCACTTTGTATTGTGGGATTGTCGATGAAGCAAAGTTGTACTTATTATAGCTTTAGAGACTACCAGTAGATTCTATAGGCGAAATGTTTTAAGAAACTTACTTATAAAACAATAAATAAGATATTTTCCTTGCTTTTTTATTTCCTGTACCCCCTAACCCGTGCCACACGGGCATAATGCCTACTTATTACATTGTACGTATGTGAAATAAAGTTACAAACTGTGATATGCACCCCAGGCGTGATTAAGATATATCAAAATAAATTCTGTTATGATATACTACTTTATATACTACTTGAATATAATTTTTTCGACTATACCCAACTGGGAAGTTTCGCTGCCAGTTATGTTCACCCTATTTCGTTTAAGGTGATGAATGAATGGTGGTTGAATTTTATCCCAATGATATGAGTGGGCTGAAGCTTCTATTGAATTTCAGATAGGCTTGTTTTCCCAACAATATTTCCCATCCTGGACGGGGTGGACTGCTGTTTCGAACTCGCCTAGGTTTTATCCACACTTCCAGAGGGATTCGAACCATGACAGTTCAACGTGTACTCTCTACACATTAACAACTACATCACATTGTCACGAATGTCATTGGGCCAGAAGGCAAAAGTGAATTTCAAGGAAGGCCAGACATTTTCCTTTATCACATTCTTTGGTCAGATTGTAGATGAGGCAAAGTTATATTTGCTATAGTAATCGACGATATTACTTATATTTCGTATTAAGTAGGCTTTCGAGATTCAGCACTCTTGGCACTGTCATGTTTCGACTCCCCCTGCGGCTGTTGCTAAGACCTATGCGAGGTTGAAACTGCAGTCCACTCCGGTTGGGATGGGAACACATTTTGGGAAAGCAAGGCTCTGTGAAATTCAATGGAAGCGTCAACTCTACTCATAGGATTATGGGAAAATTCGACTAACAAAATAAGGTGAACATAACTCACAGATCTGGTTTATTGATAGCCTTGAAGAACTACTAAAAACGAAATATTCGTACTAATGTACCCGTTGCTGCCAAACAGGGCAGTATTTGACACTGAACGTCTTCAGATCATGGATTCAACTTATGCTGACCACTTAGGTTCTCACAGACATTGAGTGCTTAGACGACATTTGGTGAGTTTCATGCACTCATTCTTGGTTTCGATGACTGTCCTGAGATAACATTGTTAGGGGACCTTCATTTTGAATGAAAGTACATGATGAAGAGATTCGTTTGTCGTTCTCACCAGATGAGGACG